TTCTTTCTTTCTTTCTTTCTTTCTTTCTTTCTTTCTTTCTTTCTTTCTTTCTTTCTTTCTTTCTTGCAAGCGCTGTCTCTTTAAAAGGCGCGACGCCGCTGCTAGGCGGCGCCTGTTGCCAGGCGGCGGGGATTGGCGGAGCGGGGATTCCCTTCGGTATGACGTCACTGGGCCAGCCGAGCTTTCCCCTCGGCTGACACGCGGGTTCCTAAAGCGGCCGGCGGAGGCGGGGGAGGAGGCGTGTCTTGGCCAATGGGGAGCTCGGGCGTCGTGGGGACGGGGCGGTAGGCTCCCCGTATATGGCAGAGGAGGGGGCGCGGCCTGGGGCAAGGCTGCTCGCGGGGGCAGCCGCTCCCTTTGGCTCCCCAGCTGCTCGGCCAGCCACTTCTGAGCTGCCGAAGGGGAGACACGCGTGTTTCTCCTCCGGGCCGGTGAGCAGGGAGCTGTTTCAGCCCGGGCAGAAGCCGCTGCAATGATTTCCCGCAGGTAAGGAGGTCGATCAGCTCTGCCTGGGGGAAAGGGAGAGAGCTGGGGGTAGACTGCTCCTGGCGATGGAGGCTCCTTTAAAGAGCGAGCCGGCTTCTGCGCCCAGAGGTGGGTAGGAAGGCGAGCAAGCCACGGATGGGACACTCAGAAACATGGTTTTAAGGTGACAGGCAGGTGGTACAGCCTTGGTTCAATTGGGGTGGGTGGGTGAGAAATCCCCTCTCCTTCACCCCAAAGCTGGATTTAAAGTCGCTATCTGAGGGCGACGGGGGGGGGGTTGGGCTTGGAAATCGGAAATATAAATAAGAGGAAGGAAGAAGAAGAAGAAGAAGAAGAAGAAGAAGAAGAAGAAGAAGAAGAAGAAGAAGAAGAAGAAGAAGAAGAAAGACTGACAAAAGCAAGCAAGGGTAGTACCAATAGTAATAGGTGCAATCCCAAAACAACTGGAGCACCACTTGAACACCACCATCGCCATTGATAAATTCGCCATTAGTCAATTGCAAAAGGCGGCCTTACTAGGAACGGCTTCCATCCTGCGAGACGAGATCTGTAATACCATCAAACATCCACATCTGCCTATCCCAGGTCCTGGGTAAGGACTCGATAGGTAGACAAAATGCCAAATCCAGTCTGAACATCTGGCTGAGTGTGCGATGATCCATAATAATATAAAGTTGGAAGGGACCTTGGAGGTCTTCTAGTCCAGCCCCCTGCTCAGGCAGGAAACCCTACACCATTTCAGACAAAGGGCCGTCCAGTCTCTTCTTAAAAACTTCCAGTGTTGGAGCATTCACCGCCTCTGGAGGCAGGTTGTAAAAGGTCATATGTCCCCGCACAGAGGTAGACTGCTTCTGACAGTGGAGGTTCCATTTATATAATAACACACTTCTGTAGATCGACCCCCTTGGGGTTCGGGGGGGGTGTTTCAGGAAAAGGGGGAATGCCAAATTTATTTGGGTGGGAAGCAGGAGGGAAAAACCTCTTCTGGGGTTCTTTCGTGAATATTTGAACTTTATTGCTGGGGGGGGAGGCAACTTTTCTCGTCCGTGGAAGCCGGCTGCAGCCTTCTTTGGTATCTTTGAATCGCATCCTGTACGTGTGTTTCCCTTTCCTTTCTGCCCTAGTTAGAATGTAAATATTACTTCAGAGGCAACATTTCCTGCCTCTTTTTCCTATTCCTCCCTCCCTCTCGAAAGGCTGGAGGCCGTCAGCGCCTGATCCCTTCCCTCTGTTTAAAGATTTAAATCCGCCGGGACTTCTGAGATCTCTTTAGCCTCTGGGCCAGACGCCTGCCAGGAGTAACCCTTTATTTTCTCTTGCTATAATAAGGAGTCAGGGCCCCTCTCTGAAAAAAGATCTTTTTGCAATCCTGTGTAAAAGCTTTCCTTCCCTTCCTGTTTCCTTCCCTTCTCTGTTTCCTTCCCTTTCCTTCTTCTCTCTACCCATCTGTCCTCCCTTCCTTCTCTCTGTTCCTTTACTTCTTCCCTACCTCTCCTCTTTTTTTGTCTTTTTTTCCTTTCTTCCTCTCTCTTCCTCTTTTCCTTTTTCTCTCTTTCTTCCTCCTCTCCTTTCCTTTTTGCCTTCCTTTAATTTCTTCTTCTCTTTCCGTCCCTCCTCCACCTTTCTTCCTCTCTCTTCGTCCTTTCTTTTTTCTTCCTTCCTCCTTTCCTCTCTTTCTTCCCTCCTCCTCTTCTTTCTTTTCCTCCTTCTGTATTTCCTTTCCTTCCCTTCCCCTCTTCCCTCGGCTAAATATCGCCCCTACGACCAGGCTCACCTCATCCCCGCTGACCTCTGCCCCTTCTCCTAAAATGAACTTCCCTCGCTCGACATCCTTTCATCTTGGAATTCTTGCTTCTGTCGTCGTCGGCTTGACAGTGGGTGGAAACTGGTTAGTATCCTCTTTTGACCACGAAAACCCTCTGGCACTTGCTAATCGACCTAGCCTGCACATCCACTACAAAACCCAGGCAAAACGGGCCCTCTTTTTCACTACCAGCTTTCGGCAACGAAAAGCTAGCCAGCACGGCCTACAAACTGGTTTAGGACGAGCATGGATGCTTCTTCCAGATGCCACAGCTTAGCCTGGGATGGCACTCAAGGACCTCGTCCGAGGCTGTGCATCTGGGCCCTGTGTGTGTGTGTGTGTGTGTGTGTATGTATATGTATATGTATATGTATATGTATATGTATATGTATATGTATATGTATGTATATATTCAAGTAGCTAAAAAGCACGAACACCAGGAAATTTTGCAAAACTATAAAAGTTTTAATCCAATAAAACACCAAGCTTTTGTTGGCCACTGCCAACATCGTCAGGATACATTCAAGTCTTTTATAGGTGAGACGCTGTCTGCACCCGGCTCCTAGATCGCGTCACGGGTCCTGACTGGCCAATCTGCTCCCATTTCTCCTGTCCCTTCATTATTATTTTTTTCTTTTAAAAAAATTCCGGCATGGTTATGAGATCCCAGCAAGTTTGCAACCAGCTTTAAGCCCAGTTTTCTTCCTCGTTACGGTTTTAAACCATCATTGCAAAGAGGGCCTGCCAAACCGACCGGGACATTTTTGAAAATAAGGTGGATTCAGCGGATCAAAAACTCTGATCCTGGTACAAGCCAGTTGCATCGCTAGGTAATCCTCGGCTTACAGCAGTTTGCTTAGTGACTCTGTTCGAAATGACAACGGCACTTAAATAACTTATGACCGTTTTTCACATCCCTAGGGTCACGTGCTCAAAATTCAGGCGCTTGTCCACCGACTTGTATTTATGACGGTCGCAGGTCACATAAAAACTGACTCACTTAGCAACAGAAATTTTGGGCTCATTTGTGGTGTCCTAAGTCGAGGACCACAAATTTTATGTCATTTTTTTTTTCTTTCTCTTTCATTCCACATTGTGAAAGAGGGTCAGTTTCCTGCTTTGTTTTTATGGCACTTTATGGGGTTGTTTTTTTTTTAAGTCTTTGATTTGTGTTGCTTCCGAGTTTATTGAGGGAGAAGACCGCATCTGCAAATAATTATTCTGCAACTTCCCTAAAAGTCAACTCTTTTAAGATCAGGAAATGCCCTCGAAGGAAAAAAACACAAAGGCAAAAACAAAAAACTTTGCTGGTGTGTGTGTTTTTTTTGTTTTTTTTAAAACAAACATTTGACAGCTCAAAAGAAACCCAGTGGAAACACCTCCCCTAAAAGATCTGTGCAGAAAACCATCTTTACTCCCACGCTGGAAAATCCGAAGGCAACTTCTTTTGAAAAATTGGAAGAGGAAAAATAGGCCCCCACCCAAAAATAAAAGCTCTTGCTTTAGAAAAATTCGTTGAGGGGTTTCCCTTAGAAGGCTGTCGCACCTGTTCATCGAGGGATAAACAGATAAAGGGAATCTCTCTCTCTCTCTCTCTCTCCCTCCCTCCCTCCCTCCCTCTCTCTCTGTTTCATATCATTTAAAGAACTTTAAAATCTACAGCCCAGAAGATTTGGGTGCTTAACCAGGAGTGTCCAACTTCAGCAACTTGTAGACTTCAATTCCCAGAATTCCTCAGCCAGCAAAGCCGAGTCTACAGGTCTCAAGAATTGCCAAACAAACAGCAATAATAATAATAATAATAATAATAATAATAATAATAATAATAATAATAATAATAATAATAATAATAATGATAAAGTTGGAAGGGACCTTGGAGGTCATCTAGTCCAACCCCCTGCTCAGGCAGGAAACCTTATACCATTTCGGACAAATGGCTGTCCAGTCTCTTCTTAAAAACTTCCAGTGTTGGAGCATTCACCGCTTCTGGAGGCTGGTTGTTCCACTGGTTAATTGTTCTAACTGTCAGGAAGTTTCTCCTTAGTTCTAGGTTGCTTCTCTCCCAGATTGAAAAGAGAGCCTCTCTAGCTGGGGAGACTCTACCTTTAAATACCGAACCGCTTACCTTGATGCCCAGCTGGTGGACTTTTTCTCCTAGCTCCAGAAGATGCCAGTTTCCATCTTTTCCTACCCACCTTATTTTTTGCCCTCTTCGTTCCTGCAAAAAGGCCGGCGTGACTCGGCCTGAGAAGATTTCTCTCCTGTTCTCTTCCTGCTCGAACTGATTTAGCAATGTCAGTTTTTCCCAGCACACACACACACACAAGCTGTCTTGTCTTGATTGAACTGCCATGTCTGTTCCAACTGGACGCGCTTTGTCGTGTTCCTCCCGATGACTCAGAGTCACAAACTTCCAATGCCCTCGGGATGGGATCACAGATCCTTTCCTCTCTGCTGTCGGCAGACCGCAAGCAAGGGGGTGAAAAGGTGACCCCAAACCTTCCTTTATAAAACCCCCAAATGTTTCAGAGCAGACCTGCAGAACTAAATGACAGAAAATTAAACAAGTGCATGGCGGTTAGATCTTCGCGCGAGGCTGAGAATCATAGGAAGCTGACAGAGGTGACTTGGGGTTTAGGAGCCTGTCAAGTTACTAACCCGCGGCCAAAATGTGTGGGGGTTTTTTGGGGCAACATCGGTGAATTCCTCAGTGCCTTTCACCAGCACTGATTTTTCCCTACCTTACAAAGCCCTGAAAAAATAAAGACGGCCTCAGCATCGGAGCGAGGGTGCAAAATCACACCCCCAGTCAAAAATTCCATGGTAAACCCTTTTCACTACTTCTGACCTGGGCGTCCATCTATGTGGCTGCAGAAATCTAGCCACAATCTAGCTTGCAAAACTGGGCCAAGACAGCGCCCGAGAAGTTAAATCTGTGGCCTGGCATCCCGTTCAGCAGTGCCAGCCAATTCACGGAGCCCTTTTCTAGGATCCTCCCTTCCACAGTTCGTCAGTCTGCAAAACAACTTTTCGTGATGGCGAGATGGAGGTCTCTTAAAACTTGCTTTTAAGTCATGAGCCTGTCTGTGTGCGTGTGTGCGTAAGAGAAAGAGAGCCCCCCCCCATTGTGTGTGTGTGTTGAAAAACCAGAACTGGATCACTCTGTGCTGAAAGATTTTGTTGCAGATGAGTTTCT